CTCAAGGGCACAGGTATTGTTTTGAAATTTATTTTAGACCTCCTTTGAAAGTGGGCGTGAATGTAATTGTTTCAGGCACTTTTTTTTTTGAGGCCGAGCCTCGGTGTTACCCAGGCCGGTGTGCCATGGCGCGATCCTGCCTCGGCGCACACTCCCGCCTCTGCCTCCGGAGTAGCTGAGATTCCAGGCCCGCGCCACCGCGCCCGGCTGCGAAGCCAATCCGCGCCTCGCCAGCGGAGGGCGCCCGAGCTCGCGGAGGCCCAGCCCCAGACACACCTCCGCGCCTCACCAAGGCCCCTGCCCCGCCCTCCGCTGTCGTCACGCCGGGGGCCACGCCCCCGTGCCGTTGAGGGTTCATGCCCCGCCCCTCGCCACGCCTCGTGCCCCGCCCTTGCTCCTGGCGCACTTTATACCACGCCCCCTTGCCTTGCCGCACCCCGTGCCCCGCCCCATCTGCCACCCCTGGCCCGACTCTGGGCCCTCCCTGTCCCTCGCCACGCCTTCTTCCCCGCCTCGCGGCGCCCGGGTCCTGATTCTACTTCCGCCTCGGAGGACTTGGGGGCCCGACGTTTCCGGGAGCGCCGCGTGGAGTTGGAGTTGGCCGCTTTTGGCATGGCGGCGTTTTCAGGTCCGGCCGCGCCAGTCTTGTCGCATAAGAAGATGTCGACTTTCAAAAGGAGGTGGCGCAGGTTCGCAAGCGCGTCACCCAGGTGAGCAGGCGCCCTAGCCCAGGCTGCGCGTAGGGGAGACGCACCGGGTCTAGGGGTTTGTGGGGTCGCGCAGTTCCCGGCCGGCTCCTCTTGCCTTCGCGCTCGCCTTCGTTACCTCCAGGGTCTCCCAACCGGATTCGCCTGAATCAGGGACCGACCTCTTGAGCTTGCAGGACACGGTTTCCCAGACGAAAGGGTTTACGCCGGTCAGTACATTATGGAGGGGTTTGGCCGCTGAGGACTTGGGGCCTTCATGTGGAGAGTAAGGGGGAGGCATTGGGGTGACGGAAGCGGAGGAAGGAGCCAGCTGGAGGGAATGGGCCCCCATACCGCAGGTTATCTCCGGGTTAGAGCTGTCACTGCCGCGTTGCCTCCGAAAATGGGGGCCCCACACTTACCACTTTCGGGAGGTCTGTATGCCGGGTTGGAGATCTGAGAGTTACTAAAATACTTTATTTGCCAAGTTGCGCTTGCTGACTAGGGCCCCTGACATCCCTTATACTTTCTGTGGTTTTTAGCATAAAATGCACCGGGAAACTTAGAGTTCTTGTTACAGAGGTAAGGGTGTGACCACTGAGACGCTGAAAGGCTCATCTGTACTGTGAGAGTTAACAGTCGTCTGGAAACGTTTTCGATGAAGTGCGAGTAAACAGTATGCATCCAAAGTGAAGGGTACAGTTATGTAGAGTTCTCCGGGCAGAAAATCTAAAATGGCTTGTTCGAAGATGTCCTTGCCTATCCGCTGATTGACATAGTTATTGAGCACTGACATTGTACTGAGTGGTGGGGTGCCAGGCTGGAAAGACAGTCGACTACTGCTCTGCCATGGCCCTTGTGGGTAGAGACATTAAACAGCCGGGTTTTTTTTTTTTTTTTTGAGACAGAGTTTCACTCTTGTTACCCAGGCTGGAGTGCAATGGCGCGATTTCGGCTTACCGCAACCTCCACCTCCTAGGTTCAGGCAATTCTTCTGCCACAGCCTCCTGAGTAGCTGGGATTACAGGCACGCGCCACCATGCCCAGCTAATTTTTTGTAGTTTTAGTAGAGACGGGGTTTCACCATGTTGACAAGGATGGTCTCGATGTCTTGACCTCGTGATCCACCCGCCTCGGCCTCCCAAAGTGCTGGGTTCAGCCGGTTCTTTAATTACTGCTGTGGTAAGTGGAAATGCAGAGTAGGTTTTTGGGCCGAGGGCTAGGACTAGGAGTTTTGCAAGCTTTGTTGCAATGTGATTTTCTTTTAAAAATATTTAGCCGGGCGCTATGGCTCACGCCTATAATCCCAGGACTTCCGGAGGTCGAGGAGGGTGGGTCGCCTGAGGTCAGGAGTTCGAGACCAGCCTGGCCAACATGGTGAAACCCGTCTCTACTAAAAATACAAAAACATAGCGGGGCGTGGTGGCAGGCACCTTTAATCCCAGCTACTCGGGAGGCTGAGGCAGGAGAATTGCTTGAACCTGAGAGGCGGAGGTTGCAGTGACCCGAGATCGGGCCACTACACTCCAGCCTGGGCAACAAAAGGGAAACTCCATCTCAAAAGACAATAAAAGAAAAGAAAACAATACTTAATTTACCTGGTCTTTATGTCTTCAGGGAAAAAAACAAGAACAACTTACTCCTGGAGTCGTCTATGTGCGCCACTTGCCTAACCTGCTTGAGGAAACTCAGATCTTTTCCTATTTCTCCCAGTTTGGCACTGTGACACGGTTCAGACTGTCCAGAAGTAAAAGGGTAAGATTTCTGTAGTTGCATTTGATGTTTTGTTTTTCAAATGTGTATTATCTTTGACATTAAAGAGCACGTTCACTTATGTATTATTTCTTATCAGATTTCATTCCATAAAGGAGAGTGGCTCAGGTTTAGAATCTGAAACAGCCACAGGAGCAAAATCAGTATTACTGTAAAAGTTTGTTTTTTACATTGCTCCAAATCCTTACATTAAGTTGACAGTCCTGGTAAATGAACTTATGTATGAGGACCAGGTTTATCCATCTTCTTGTATTAGCCTTTGGTACAACCATCTCTGTAATAGCAAAGGTTTAGATAGTGAATAAAGATATGGACTCTGGAGTTGGACTGCCAAGCTTTAGGGCCAGGCTCCAGCCCTTACTAGTTAGAGTGATATGACCATAGCATGCTCAGTGTTGTGATCTGTTAAATGTGAGTAAAACTTTGCAGAAGTATTTAGTTAAAGATTAAATGAAATAATGACTATAAAATCCTTAGAATTATTGCTTGGCACACAGCAAACACTATATGATTACTATTGTGTCATACCTGCCTTCTAATGAGAAAAAGGTGTGTGCAGCTTGTTTCAAGAGTAGAGGAGTGACCCACTTTATTTCACTTTCTTCTTTTTTTGTTTTTGAGATGGAGCCTCGCTGTGGCCCAGGCTGCTGGAGTGCAATGGTGCAATCTCGGCTCACTGCAACCTCTGCCTCCCGGGTTCAAGTAGTTCTCTGCCTCAGCCTCCCGAGTAGCTGCGATTACAGGTGCCCACCACCACGCCTGGCTAATTGTTTGTATTTTTAGTAGAGATTGGGTTTCACCATCTTGGCCAGGCTGGTCTTGAACTCCTGACCTCGTGATCCACCCACCTCGGCCTCCCAAAGTGCTGGGATTACGGGAGTGAACTGCCACACCTAGCCTACCCACTTTATTTTTCCCCACACGTAAACTTTAATGGGTTGTAGCCATAGACACCTATTTGATTTAGCATCTAGGGCATAGGGTGTGCATCTATCTTCTGTTAGTTGTTCTAAAGATACAGATTATAGGTAGAATTGAGGTCCCTTTTGTACCCTTCCCAATGCTCTTCACCTTCTCCTTTAAGTAGGGAATTAAATTCACAAATTCAGTTTTCAGTGCTATATATAAGTTTTTACTACATATATAAATGTACATATAGTGCTATTTTAAAATTCTATTATTTCTGTCCTTCAGCAGAATTTTTTTGTTCAGTAATCTGAGCATTATTCCTGTAACTCTAGTGCCTTTGTCATCACCGTTGCTTGTACTTGGGTAACGGAAGTTTATCCACCCTCCTACGGAACATTAGGTTTTGTTTTTTTGTTTTGTTTTGTTTTGTTTGGAGACAATCTCACTGTGTCACCAGGCAGCCATGGTGTAGTGGGGCGATCTCGGCTCACTGTATCTCCACCTCCCAGGTTCAAGTGATTCTCCTGCCTCAGCCTCCTGAGTAGCTGGGATTACAGGTACCTGCCCCTGTACCTGGCTAATTTTTGTATGTTTAGTAGAAACAGGGTTTCACCATGTTGGCCAAGCTGGTCTCAAACTCCTGACCTCAGGTGATCCGCCCATCTTGGCCTCCCAAAATGCTGGGATTACAGCATGAGCGAGTCACTGTACCCAGCCCAAACGTTAGGTTTTTTACTACTCTTAACTCTTTAGATGAAGCTGCTACGAAGTCTTTATGCAGGTATAGGCAGATTTTTTTTGGAAAAGTATTTTGCAGACTTTGGTTCTCAGTAAGAAGTAAGTTTTTACCATCACAAAGAAGATAAGGGTTTAAAAAAAAAAAGTTTTACAGCACAAACCAGCACACATACACATGCATGTAAGCATAACCGAAATAAAAGTGAAATGAGACAATGTTTACACTTGTCCTGTTTGATGATTTTCTATTTCATTCTAGTCAGAATTTTGTTTTTGTTTTTGTTTTGTTTTGTTTTGTTTGAGACAGAGTCTCACTCTGTCACCCAGGCTGGAGTACAGTGGTACAATCTCAGCTCACTGCAGTCTCCACCTCCCAGGTTCAAGTGATTCTCCTGCCTCAGCCTCCCAAGTAGCTGGGAATACAGGTGCGTGCCACCACACCCAGCTAATTTTTGTATTTTTACTAGAGACAGGGTTTCACCATTTTGGCCAGGCTGGTCTCAGACTCCTGACGGGTGATCCACTCACCTTAGCCCCCCAGAGGACTTAGATTACAGGTGTGACCACCGCGACTGGCCTAGCTTTGTTTTGTGTTTTTTTAGTATCCTTGTGACCTAAACTGATCCTGTTACCCCCTAAAAAG